TGTAAAAAAAAAAAAAAAAAAGCACACACTATAAGCCAGAGAACATACATAACCTTTAAACTCAGCTCTAAAGGACACATGTGAGATGTAACATGGCGTACCTGTTGTGGACGAGCTCAGCCATGAGTTTGAGGACCGGTGTGGTGCAGGCAGGTACATGGTACCAGAGCTCTATCGCCCGCTGTAAGATGGGCATGTAAGAGGGGTAACTAAGATCTGTTAAGGAGCACATTAAAATTGGCATTCAATCTGAATTGACCTAAGAGACTAATTTTATAGCATTTACTTATTATTTTCTTACATTTTTTTTAACAAACTTATAATAAATAATTAAATAAAAAGAAAATAATAAAATCAAAATAAATAATAAATATACATACAAACACACAAATGTGAACAAATAAACACAAATAAGTAATTACACAAAATAAATTAATAAAACATGCGAACAAACAAAATAAAAACAAGTGAAAAAACAAACAAAATAATTACAGAAAATAAAAAAAACTAATAATTACACAAAGAATGGAATAAACAAATGAAAACAAACATGCAAATAAACAAAAAAGGGAACAAACAAACACAAATAAAATAAATACTTACACAAATAAAATAAACAAATAAATTACACCAATAAAATAAACATATAAACAAACAAACAAACAAATAAATGTAAATTAAAGGATACATCCAATCAAAGAGCATCATAAAGCTGGTCTTGGCATTAAAGGCAAAGGCAATTCCCCGCAGATCTCTCACCAGTCCTACTAAAGTCCTCTGAAAGAAACAAATAACAAATACACAACAAATAAGAAAACACAAGGTATTTAGCAAATGTTTCATGCCACACTGAGGTTGTATGATAAACAATATAACATCTCACTTTTGCTTCTTGTTCATTGAAGGTGTTGGTGCTGAACATCTGAGCGATGGCCTCAAATGCAGCAGTGAGAGGAAGCATGAACTGTTCAAACTGGTCCTCATCCTCACCTGTCAAAGACACAGAACGTCATTTTACATGACACTTATATGTTATATCTATAGATACTTATATGCTATATCTATAGGTACACCCTTACCCAAATCTACCATAAGAAGTCTTCCCAAGGCTGTGTAGAAAGTGGTCCGACACCTCATGTCACTAAGGTTGGCCTGATTGTTCACACCCAGGAAAGAAAAGTGCTCACTCTGTCACACAGAAGAAAGACACCGTCAGCTTGTTAAAGTAACTCAAGAAACAAAGAATAGTAAAAAAAACAACTAGATAATTAACTTAATTGTGCTTCAGGGACAAATACAGTTGAAGTGGAGTTAAGAAGGAGAAAGGCTCAGGTTGGTCACTTACTGTATGGTTGTTTAGCATGAACTGGACAGCACTGAGTTTCACAAGTTTTCTAACACTGCTGTATGTGAGAAATAATGTTAAGGAAACAGACGAGAACATATTCACTGTCAAAAACATCACAGACCATTTTATACATTTACATTAAATAACAGTCCATCATCCTCAATAACAATGCTAATATTTTTTTTTTTTTACATTTTAACCAGCAACATGTGTATAAGGATATCCAATCGAAAGGTCATTGAGGAGCTGTAGTGTCTTAGATGTGATTGGTTCACACTGTCCCCAGTACTTCAAGTTGGTGATTCTGCATTAAAACAAAACTCTACATTAAAAACATTGCTTTTTTTTTTTTTAATTGTTCTTTTTGGCAAAACTAGGTTTTATGATAATTATACCCATCACCTATTATATACTCACATTTTCCCAATGAAAACACTGAGTACCATGGTCTCATCATTCAAGCCAAGAACCTCTGATAGTCTTCGATATAACTAGGGATCAAACAAAAAGTATATTATTTCTGGTCATCTTGTATTCATCCTGAACTGGTGCTTTGCATTGTAGCTTGAACAATCTATTTTATAAATGTAGCATTTAGTATGTTAAACTACTAAAAAAAATAACAGGTTGGGAGATAAGGCCTCAAGAAGCAAACAAATATGTCAATTCACAGGGGGTTCACACAAATCCATAAAAAATATAGATTTGGCCAGAAAAGAGGGAAAAAGCAAGTCAATTTAATTTCCAAATTAAAAACTTAAATGTAACATTTATTGACAAATTCAGTATATACATATATAAAAAAAAATTTAAATTATATTTATGGGCTTTTCATTCCTTTATTATTCAGAAAGGACAGTCGAGAGATGACAGGAAAGCATTGGGTAGAGAGAGGGGAGCGGGATCGGTATAGGACCTCGAGACGGGAATCGAACTCGAGTTGTTGTGAGCTCAATTGCACTGTATATGTTGGCACACTAACCACGAGGCTATCGGCACTGACAAATATTTTTCTAACACAAATAAAAATACATTGCAAAAAATCCTTATTGTCGAGTTCTGATTATGGTCCAGTCCCAAATGGCACATTCCTCTGAGTTTACACTTTGCTGCTTGGTAACAGTACACTCTGAAATCTATATCCCTATGGTACAAATTAAGTGTGCCATTTGGGAAAATTCTCCATTAAATCTAATACATCCAATTATCAAGATACAATCAGACTTTGTAATAGGTTTTGCACGAATCGTACACTTTTGAACAGGAGAAGAAATTTTAAGGTGCTAAATTCCAAGGTAAAGGACAACAAGGTTAAAGCAGAGCTAAAGACAGGTTTAGAGGAATAGCTAGTCTTTCTATGTGCACTTATCTTCTCTGTTCTGAGAATCTGAGCAACAGGAGAGAAAACTTCAGTTTTCTGGTTAGTTGAGACAGAACACTTTCATCTCCAACATTAAAAAACAAAAACAAAACAAAAAACACCCTGACCAATATAAACAAGTATTCACCTTATAAAGTAGAGCCTATGTTGGCCTTTTTGTAACAGGGAGGTGTTCTAATCTTTTTCAACTGCACTGAGAACAAAAAACAGCTAACCAATAAGACATTTGGTCACATATCCAGAGGCTCTGCTGTTACATAAAACTACATCTTGGTGGCACTCATGAAAGACAATTTTGTGAGTAGAGGAAAAATCTGGAACCGACTCTCTTTTGGCGCTTTTCCACTGCATGGTACGGTTCACTTTTGGAGGGTTTTCCACTGGGTACACAGTACCTGGTACTTTTTTTAGTACCACCTCGGTTGATGTTCCAGGTGAACCGCAACGTTACTGAAACGTGACGCGTAAACTCTGCTGATCACGGATTGGCCGCAGAGAATCGTTACTACCTGCGTCACTGAACTTGCGACACAAACACAACAGAACCGCTAGATTTAAATCAGCACAGAAGGATAGAACGCAACAGTTTAGAACGAGCGCACCTTTTTTAACAACCAAAAAGTGGCTGTTTCGTTGTCTGTTGAGGAAGTACAGACGTTCCTCTCGTTGATAACAGAGGAGCGGATCCAGCGAGAGCTTGATGGGGCGACGCGGAATGAAAATGTTTTTCAGGAGTCGCGGCAGTAGAGGCGGCATAACTAACGACATGTGAATAATCCCACCCATTCTAAAGCGATACTAAACTGCAGTGGAAATGCCAACCGAGCCGTGCTGTGCCATGCCGAGTCATACCACGCAGTGGAAAAGCGCAATTTCTCTGTACTCTTGTGTTTGGTGCTGTTTGATAGACATCATAGTGAATACAAATATCTCAAAGGGTTTTTGAAAAATGTAAATACTGTTTGACTGACTTCATTCTTGTGACAAGAGGGTGTCAGAAACAAAACGCTGTGCAGTGCTTTGTGTCCCGGGGTATTTCCGCTTTTTTTGTAAGCACTACCTACTGTCAAAGAATAATTTTGCATATTAATTTAGCCCATCTGATTTTTTTTTTTTACACCAGTCAGAATAGACAACTCGTAGGACTGAATTTTCATTTCGTCTTGGTGTGAACAGGCCTTTAGTGGCGATTCCTCACCGACACACAAGCTCTCCATCCATGGCATCCTGCTCATCTGTGCTGGCGAAGGATACTCTTCCTCCAATGACTGCGCCAATGATGTACACTAGCCATGTCAAACGACCTGGACAACACATATGTAACATAAGCATTGTTATGTTAAGTTATGATGCAATATATTGATTTGTATATTAGGTTTTGTTTCAAGCTCACCCTCCTGCACTGCTATGTCCATTGTGCTGGAGTTGGTGGACTGCAGCAACTCCTGGTACGACTGGGCCGACTGATCGAAGAGCTGGACAAGCAGGGCGCAGGTCTTCTCATACTCGCATCGGCCGATAGTAGACAGCTGGTCTAGCTGCTGTTGCACCAAGCCAGCATCATCCAAGGGGTCTTCAAGACCATCCCTGCATAGAATGGATATTGTATATTCACACATTTATGACATTCTTGCACATCAGACCTAACCGTGAGTTCAAGTAGTGCTCACTCTACCTCAGAATGATGTGCACAGACTCTAGGCGGGACGTGATGTAGGCCTTGGTCACCTCAGGGGTGTAGGTTTCCAGCATGTGGGGCTCTGTGGCTTTCACATAAGGGACAGATGCTGCCAACCGCTGCCACAGGCTCAGCAGATAGTGCACACTGTTGGGGGCAAACTCCCAGTGCTGGGACACACTAAAGTTATCAGTCTTTGAAATGCCAATTTTTCATATTCACTTAATTTCATCAGCAAATTAACAAAAAATTGCAGTCACGTTGGTTCAACTTCTGTAGAAATCACATATTAGCTTTATGTTTAGCACGCAAAGCCATTCATTCACCTGCAGACTAGTTACGGTGAAGTTTGCAATCAGTCTTATGACCTCGGGATAGTTCTCTACTTTAACCAGCTCTCCCAGCTGATAGTTACTCTTGAGTCGAGCCAGCAGTCGGCAGAACTCATGGTAGTTGTTTGGGTCTGACAAACTCTGCAAAAAAAACAACAACAACATAAGCATTGCCATGTTACCATATTAACCACATAATACCTGCAAATAGATTTGAAATTTTAAAGCAGCTATTTTCAGGCTACATATTTAATATTCAGCATTATTCACTTTTTTTTTTAAATAAATATTATCTAAACACTATAATGACAGTATTATTCGCATAAATAATAAATCATATCAGGACAGACAGCATACTTGAGGGTTCTCCAATATTCTCTTCACACCATCTACTAAATGGGAGAGGAACTTTGCTCTCTCTGCGTTGTTGAATAAAGACCTCCGGACAGATGCTATTTGGACTAGACAAGACAAAACCTGAAAGACAAACAGCACATTTAATACTAAACCGTTCACATTATTATTGGAAGAGTCATAAAGGTGACCTATTATGCAAAAATCACTTTTATAAGGTGTTTGAACACAGCTGTGTGAAAACAACCAGCCTAGAATGGTAAAAATCTACCCACTCATTTTTTTTATAATCCCAATAAATCATAAACAGTCTCTTTAAACGAGCGGTTCCAGATTTCTCCCTACGTACACGTCAACGTAGGGAAAAAGTACCACCCATTTGTGACGCTCTCTGCCCTGTTAGCATAAACCCCGCCCTGAGTGAGAAGCAGAAGTCCGCTATTACTGTTTTCGTGCTGTAGCTGCTGGAGATACAATGTCAGCGCCAAAGAGGCATTACAAGTGTCGTGTGTTGGGATACACCAACGAACATAGGAGTCTCCATAGACCGCAGACGACATGGTGGTTAAATTTAAATTTTCAAAGTAAACGTCCCGGAAAAAAAAACAAAAAACAGAAAAGTCCTATATGTTTGTGCTAATCATTTTACACCGGACTGCCTCACAACGAGGGTCAGTTCAGCGCTGGAGTTGTGCAAAGGTTGCTTCTGAAAGAGGGAGCAATACCAACGCTTCGTGCGCGAATGACGGCTCCAGACAAAGCAAGCATCACGCGTCATATTTTGTTTTCCAAATTGCCTTTCTGAAAGAGCTTCTTGGCACTCTGTAAGGCTAATGTTGCTAAAGCTACCATTGTCTCTGCCTGTTTTCACTGATGCTGCCTTCACATGCTACCAGAATGATCGTAAATAGGAATATGGTAGTTAAAAATTGCATATGAAAGCAATCTGAAGTCGACCACTTGAATTATTCAAGCTCATAATCACAAGTGGGACTTATAACGTTTGTGATAGCAAGCAAAGGCACCATGAGACCAGCTATGTCATTATTTTTAATTGCGCCGTGCTCCCGTATTTACTGCACAGTACAATCAGATTGCGTGAGATTGTCCTGTTTTGCCAGAGCATGAGATCTTGAAGCTCCACCCTCTTCTGAAAAGGGAGGCGGGAGCACGAGCTCATCTGCATTTAAAGGGACAAAGACAAAAATGGCATGTTTTGGCTCATACCCTAAAAGTGGCAATTTTAACAAGCTATAAAAAATTATCTGTGGGGTATTTTGAGCTAAAACTTCACATACACACTCTGGGGACATCAGAGACTTATTTTACATCTTGTAAAAAGGGGCATAATAGGTCACCTTTCACATTATCTACGAGGCAAAGGCTTGTTTATCTTCACATGCATGCCATGCTGTTTATCTGATACTCACCAAGGGAGACAGCGAGGGAGGGATGGAATGATACAAATCAAAAAACAGCTGCAAGGTTGAGGAATCCAAAAAGGCTGCAGAAGAGAGAAAAATCATACTTATGCATGAATTCAACACGAATACCCTGTTACTGCTCAAAAGGACTTTTTTGAAAGAAGTCTCTCATGCTCACCAAGGCAGCATTTATTTTATCAAAAATAGTCAAACCAGTAATATTGTGAAATATTTTTAGAATTTAACTGTTTTCTATTTCAATTAAACTAAATTTTCAGTATCATTACTCCAGTCTTCAATGTCACATGATTCTTCAGAAATCATTCTAATATACTGATTTGCTGCTTAAGAAACATTTATTATTGTTATCAATGTTGTGTGGTTCAATATTTTTTGTGGAAACCATGACAATCTTTTATGTTTTTTCTTTTGACAAAGAAAGTTCAAAACATCAAAACCTTTTGTAACATTATACATGTCTTTAATGTCCTCGCTGAATAAAATATTTCTTTAAAAAAGTCTTAAGTCACAACAGCAAATCAGAAAAGAAAAAAAAAAAACTACACACCTGTTTTTGTTTCAAGAAATCTTGACTATATAAGCAATTCGTAAGAAGGTTAAAAATATTCAATTTAAAATTATTGTTAAAATACTGTAGAATGCAAAATCTTTAAACAAGTACTGGAACACAGTTGCCCCATGCATTCATTGTTTGCCAAAATATGTCAGATCACCTGATCTCCAGCTGGTGGGGATCTGGACGGTGCACAGATCATCTGAGGATTCATCGGTGGATGTACCAATGAAATCAAAGTTGAGGCAATTGTGGGCCAGTTTGAGTAGCTGCATGAGTAGCCCATGCTGGCTCTCATCATTTAGATTCAAGTTCTTCCCAGATGCCTGCAGACATACAGAACAATCCATTGAGTCCTTGACATAAATCCCAAGCAGGCTGGTTTAACGGTTGTGAAGAAGAATATACAGACAGACAGTTCTTTTGTGCAGTCTCTGAAGCATTAGCCTTACCTGCTTGAGGAGGTTGCAGGAGAGGGTGAAGATGTCAAACAAAGAGGAATCTCGAAATGATGACGCAATCTTTCTATGTTTTGTAAGTGGATGTGTTGAGTCTGCCTGGAGAATCGAAAGATGATTCAAGGAATCAGTCATTTATCTTTAATGTGACTTTCAGTTATTGATCCCAAACAAACAGCAAAAAATTTCCAAGCACTGAGGAAAGACTAAATGAAGAAATACTGAGTGTAGAAACTTACTTGGTTAATCTCATTGGTTAACTGGGAAAGAATTGTGACTCCTATGATGCAGTGTTCAACACTATCCTGAAAGAATCAAATAAAATAAATAAGTTAAAAATAAAAACAACTTCATAACTTCTGGAACATTACTCAAATTTAATATAACCAATTTTAGCTTTTGCCTTTAAACATGCAATGTCATCATTTATACCATCATGCCGAGTATGAAAGTGTGAGTAACAAACACTTCACATGAGACAACTCCGCTTTAGTAATGTACTGTAATGAAAATGTTGAACTAAAAATGAAACACACTGGGTCAAAAACCGAAACAGAGATGTGATTTGCATTAGCATTTAAATCATGTCATACACTGAGAGTGCACAAATCCCAGCTGTTTGAATTTTTACCACAAAATGCTTCTATAGACTTAATTGTAATCATATAATAATTATCTAGTTATTGTGCGGTTGCTTGTAAAGGTCCTCATTCACAAAACAGGAGTTTGAGTATTGAATTTGTATTTGAATTTTTGTTATTTGCTCATAAATCATTTCTATGGAAATGGATGCATTTACCTTGCATTACATAAGAATGGTTTTATAAACCATTGACACAAATGTATTGCTCGTTTCATGATAAATGAGGGCAAATGTTCTCAGAAAGTAAAACATGATTTTGATAATCGCATCAAAAATATCAAACAAAACCTAAAATATGGTCATGTAGAATAAGGCAGTAATATGTGCTTTATAAGTACTAATAAACAGCCAATATGCTAGTAATATGCATTTACTGCACAGTACAATCAGATTGCGTGAGATTGTCCTGTTTTGCCAGAGCATGAGATCTTGAAGCTCCACCCTCTTCTGAAAAGGGAGGCGGGAGCACGAGCTCATCTGCATTTAAAGGGACAAAGACAAAAATGGCATGTTTTGGCTCATACCCTAAAAGTGGCAATTTTAACAAGCTATAAAAAATTATCTGTGGGGTATTTTGAGCTAAAACTTCACATACACACTCTGGGGACATCAGAGACTTATTTTACATCTTGTAAAAAGGGGCATAATAGGTCACCTTTCACATTATCTACGAGGCAAAGGCTTGTTTATCTTCACATGCATGCCATGCTGTTTATCTGATACTCACCAAGGGAGACAGCGAGGGAGGGATGGAATGATACAAATCAAAAAACAGCTGCAAGGTTGAGGAATCCAAAAAGGCTGCAGAAGAGAGAAAAATCATACTTATGCATGAATTCAACACGAATACCCTGTTACTGCTCAAAAGGACTTTTTTGAAAGAAGTCTCTCATGCTCACCAAGGCAGCATTTATTTTATCAAAAATAGTCAAACCAGTAATATTGTGAAATATTTTTAGAATTTAACTGTTTTCTATTTCAATTAAACTAAATTTTCAGTATCATTACTCCAGTCTTCAATGTCACATGATTCTTCAGAAATCATTCTAATATACTGATTTGCTGCTTAAGAAACATTTATTATTGTTATCAATGTTGTGTGGTTCAATATTTTTTGTGGAAACCATGACAATCTTTTATGTTTTTTCTTTTGACAAAGAAAGTTCAAAACATCAAAACCTTTTGTAACATTATACATGTCTTTAATGTCCTCGCTGAATAAAATATTTCTTTAAAAAAGTCTTAAGTCACAACAGCAAATCAGAAAAGAAAAAAAAAAAAACTACACACCTGTTTTTGTTTCAAGAAATCTTGACTATATAAGCAATTCGTAAGAAGGTTAAAAATATTCAATTTAAAATTATTGTTAAAATACTGTAGAATGCAAAATCTTTAAACAAGTACTGGAACACAGTTGCCCCATGCATTCATTGTTTGCCAAAATATGTCAGATCACCTGATCTCCAGCTGGTGGGGATCTGGACGGTGCACAGATCATCTGAGGACTCATCGGTGGATGTACCGATGAAATCAAAGTTGAGGCAATTGTGGGCCAGTTTGAGTAGCTGCATGAGTAGCCCATGCTGGCTCTCATCATTTAGATTCAAGTTCTTCCCAGATGCCTGCAGACATACAGAACAATTCATTGAGTCATTGACATAAATCCCAAGCAGGCTGGTTTAGCGGTTGTGAAGAAGAATATACAGACAGACAGTTCTTTTGTGCAGTCTCTGAAGCATTAGCCTTACCTGCTTGAGGAGGTTGCAGGAGAGGGTGAAGATGTCAAACAAGGAGGAATCTCGAAATGATGACGCAATCTTTCTATGTTTTGTAAGTGGATGTGTTGAGTCCGCCTGGAGAATCGAAAGAAGATTCAAGGAATCAGTAATCTATCTTTAATGCAACTTTCAGTTATTGAACCCAAACATACATCAATGATTTCCAAGCACTGAGCAAAGACTAAATTTACATTTACATATAGTCAATTAGGAGACACTTTTATCCAAAGCGACTTACAAATGAGGACAATAGAAGCAATCAAAACCAACAAAAGAGCAATAATATGCAAATCAAGACATACTGCAAGCAGAGAAACTTACTTGGTTAATCTCATTGGTTAACTGGGAAAGAATTGTGACTCCTATGATGCAGTGTTCAACACTATCCTAAAAAAAAGAAGTAAAAAATACAAACAACTTCATAACTTTCAGGAACATTACTCAGATTTAACATCAACCAATTTTAGCTTTTGCAATGTTATCATTTATGCCATCATGCTGAAATTGTAAGTGACAAACACTTCACATGAGACAACTCCGCTTTAGTAATGTACTGTAATGAAAATGTTGAACTAAAAATGAAACACACTGGGTCAAAAACCGAAACAGAGATGTGATTTGCATTAGCATTTAAATCATGTCATACACTGAGAGTGCACAAATCCCAGCTGTTTGAATTTTTACCACAAAATGCTTCTATAGACTTAATTGTAATCATATAATAATTATCTAGTTATTGTGCGGTTGCTTGTAAAGGTCCTCATTCACAAAACAGGAGTTTGAGTATTGAATTTGTATTTGAATTTTTGTTATTTGCTCATAAATCATTTCTATGGAAATGGATGCATTTACCTTGCATTACATAAGAATGGTTTTATAAACCATTGACACAAATTTATTGCTCATGTTTCATGATGAATGAGGGCAAATGTCCTCACAAAGTTCAAGGTGATTTTGATAATTATAATATCAAATAAGATATTGTCCACATATCTCGAACAAGACTTGTATTTTGAACACCATCAACAGCAGTTTCCTTAAAAAAAAAAAAAAAAATCCAAATGAACATGGATAATTTTATATGGATGCATTTTTTTTTTGTTAACACTTTAGATTAGGGAACACATATTTACTATTAACTATGACTTTTGCCTCAAACTTCTAATTATTGTTAATTTTAGGTATGGGGTCATGTAGAATAAGGCATTAATATATGCTTTCTAAGTACTAATAAACAGCCAATATGCTAGTAATATGCATGCTAGTAAGCAACTAGTTAATAGTGAATAGTCCCTAATTTAAAGTGTTACCAAATAAAAACCAAGTATTTAAAAAGAAACTTTAACTTGAGGTGAGAAAACATATCCATATAAAATTATCCACGTTTATTTGGATTTTTCATATGGAAACTGTAGATGATGATGGTTTTCAAAATACAAGTCTTGTTCGAGATATATGGACAATATCTTGTTTGGCACTTTTGATCCGATTCTCAAAATCAACTTGAACTTTGTGAGGACATTTGCCCTCATTCATGAAACATGAGCAACAAATTTGTGTAACTGGTTTATAAAACCATTCTTATGTAAAGTATTGCATTAAATGCAAGGTAAATGCATGCACGCTAAGTGCTACCGATTATAAAAAAATTTTTTTAAAAATGTAATTTTCTACCAAAAAGTTTGTGCATAATGAAGAAATACTGTGAGTGTAGAAACTTACTTGGTTAATCTCATTGGTTAACTGGGAAAGAATTGTGACTCCTATGATGCAGTGTTCAACACTATCCTGAAAGAATCAAATAAAATAAATAAGTTAAAAATAAAAACAACTTCATAACTTCTGGAACATTACTCAAATTTAATATAACCAATTTTAGCTTTTGCCTTTAAACATGCAATGTCATCATTTATACCATCATGCCGAGTATGAAAGTGTGAGTAACAAACACTTCACATGAGACAACTCAGCTTTAGTCATGTACTGTAATGACAATTTCTGACCAAAAATGAAACGCTAAAGAGAAAACATAAATGCCAGCTGCAACTGTTTGAATTTTCACCACAAAATGCTTTTATAGACGTAATTACAATTATATAATAATTATCTAGTTGTTGTGCAGTTATGTTTAAAGGTCCTCATTCGTGAAACAGGAGTTTTTGTGTATTGAATTTGTGTAATTCGCTCAAACCATTTCTATGGAAATGGATGCATATACCTCGAATTTAAAACAACACTTTTATATAAGAATGGTTTTATAAACCATTGACACAAATGTATTGCTCGTTTCATGATAAATGAGGGCAAATGTTCTCAGAAAGTAAAACATGATTTTGATAATCGCATCAAAAATATCAAACAAAACCTAAAATATGGTCATGTAGAATAAGGCAGTAATATGTGCTTTATAAGTACTAATAAACAGCCAATATGCTAGTAATATGCATGCTTAGAAGCAACTAATTTATAGTGTTCCCTAATCTAAAGTGTTACAAAATAACCTAACTTCAACTTTAATAGATTTTGATGAGGTGAGAAAACGTATCCATAAAAAATTATCCACGTTCATTTGGATTTTTCACATGGAAACAGCAATTGATTATGGTCTTCAAAATACAAGTCTTGTTCGAGATATATGAAAGTGACATGATGTGTAGCCAAATATGGTGTCCCATACTCTCTGCATTTAACCCTTCCAAGTGCACACACACAGCAGTTGCGTGTTCGGTGGCTTGCTCAAGGGTCTCACCTCAGTCGTGGTATTGAGGGTGGAACAGAGCTCTAGTCATTCACTCCCCCCACCTACAGGTACTGAGACTTCTGGGTTACAAGCCCGACTCTCTAATCACGACTGCCCCTAATGTGGGCAACATCTTGTTTGATATTTTTGATGCGATTATCAAAATCACCTTGAACTTTGTCAGGACATTTGTCCTTATTCATGAAACATGAGCAATACATTGTGTAAACGGTTTATAAAACCAGTCTTATGTAAAGTGTTGTATTAAATGCAAGGTAAATGCATGCATGCTAAGTGCTACCGATTATTGTTTTTTATTCAGGTGAACATCAAAAATGTCATTTTCTACCAAAAACATTCGTGCGTCCCTACTTGTCTTAAAGATGTGATAACAAAAAACAAGAAAATATTTCCAAGTAGTATAACTCTGAAGAATATATTTTCGAATAATACTATAAAATTGATCATACCTGCAGGAATCTTGTCACATCGACAATGACATTCCTGAAGACATAATCTTCCTTTTGGCAGTCAAACCAGCCAAGCTTGGTGATTCTGGCATAGAGCTGGATCAAGGCTTGTGTCACAAAGGCAGCAAGCTTTGGCCGGGTCGCCAGATAATTGAGAACATAATTTCCTGAGGAACCAATGTGACATTTATTTCAAAATGTTGTCTTTTCATGGTTTTTGGGTTCTATATCTCATGGCTGATCTGATAAACTTACGAATGTCAATGCGCTGCTCCAGGGGAAGTGGATTGCTTGTACGAGACACCAACTTGGAGAGACATGTTGCAGCCAACAACTGCGAGTACGAGGACTGTAAAGATTTTACAAATACAGTGTCAAGTTAAATAGTTGCTTAACTCAATCTAATGGACTAGGATTTTTGAGAAAACTGTTGTCAGATAAATTCAGATGTCCTGTTCTTCAGTTTTCAAAACGTTTAATTCTTACACTTCCGCTTTCCAGCAACAACTGGCATTTACTCAGGCAGTCGGGACTGTTGGTGAACTCCACCAGAGCTTTCTCGGCCTGTAGACGTGTGGTGGTGTCTGTGGTCTCATATAGTTGCTTGCACAGGATCTCTAGCTGGGCTAGGCTCTGAAAAAAAGACCCACATGAGTTTAGTGTCAGCAAAAAACATTCAGAGGATATTTGAGAGATGAATCAATAAAACTCCTATGTCTAAACAATTTACTCATCTAAACTTTTTATAAACTAAGTCCTACAAAGTCTACTTGCAGAAATGTGTTAGTATTCAAGTGGTCAATGACATTCATTTATCTACATCTATTTTTTTCATCAAAAATACATTAAAAATGAAATTCATGCATACAACAACTAGGGCTGGGCGATAATTCGATAACGATAATTATCGCGATATAATTTTCCTCGATAAAACGATATGAAGAGTTCGATAAATGTTCGATATGATGTTTATGCGCCAAAAGCAGAACGAAACAGTGGCAATAAATTTTCCACCTTTTTGCAACCCTATCCTCAACAAACTATGCAATATAAAATATCATTCATGTCCAAGCTAAAGTTGTACCCTAAGTCTTATAATCTTAAAATAGAGAGCTTCAGTATCTTCTTGTACAATCACAACATCAAACATCAGGTTTATGAAAAACTAGACACTAATGTTCCATTGAGCAAATTAATGCACAGACATCACATCCACAAGTTATTGTTCTAGGTCACAGAGGTAGTATCTGGTTCATGAATGCATGAAAGACTATATGGTGACTGGAGAAAAAAGTCAGCGATACACTTTGGTAATACAGAGGAGCAATGAAAGAGCTAACCCGTGTTATGCAGCAACAAGCCTCTAAACAGTTCTTTGTTCCCTGTGGAGCATAACTATACAAAATCAGCATCAGCAGAAAAACAGCAGCTGCAACAAATGCACAGCCTTAATGAAAAACATCAAGTTTATTATGCTAACAAATTCTGAACTAATGAACTCAGTAGCCTATAGAGCTATTTCAAAAAAATGTTTTGCACTCAAATGTTAAAGGAACACTCCACTATTTTTTAAAATAGGCTAATTTTCCAACTCCCCTAAGAGTTAAACAGTTGAGTTTTACCGTTTTCTAATCCATTCAGTAGATCTCCGCCCGGTCTGGCGTAGCCCTTTTAGCTGTAGCTTAGCATAGATCATTGAATCCGATTAGACCGTGAGCATCTCGCTCAAAAATTACAAAAGAGTTTCTATATTTTTCCTACTTAAAACTTGACTCTTTTGTAGTTACATCATGTACTAAAACCGACGGAAAATGAAAAGTTGCGATTTTCTAGGCCGATATGGCTAGGAACTACACTCTCATTCCGGCGTAATAATCAAGGAACTTTGCTGCCGTACCATGGGTGCAGCAGGTGCTATGATATTACGCAGCGCCGTCAGTTTTAGTACACGATGTAACTACAGAAGAGTCAAGTTTTAAATAGGAAAAATATAGAAACTCTTTGGTCATTTTTGAGCGAGATGCTAACGGTATAATCAGATTCAATGATCTATGCTAAGCTACAGCTAAAAGTGCTACCGCCAGACCCGGAGATCGGCTGAATGGATTTGAAAACGGTAAAACTCAACAGTTTAACTCTAGGGGAGTTGGAAAATGAGCCTATTTTCAAAAAAAGTGGAGTGTTCCTTTAAGTTGGAAAATGAGCCTATTTTAAAAAATAGTGGAGTGTTCCTTTAAATCCCTTGTTAAATAAACAGTTTAATACTCGAACAGTTTTAAAATGCACACTTTCTTGAGCATTCCACAACTTTAAGCTGGTTTTTCATGTCCATGTATGTATATGCTTGATGCAACCTTCTGATAACTGAATCAAGAGACCATAAAAGAACAGGGAGTACCCCTAAACATACAAGATAAAATGCAAGCTGTACAGCAAAGCAACAACTGCACAGAAAAGATAAGACACCTCTAAGTTGAAAAACCCAACATGAAAACACATGTATTGGTTTTTACTAAAACTAACTTCAATAACCACCATCAAACTGTTCGTACCTACCTATAACATTTTAATAACAACTATTAACATGCTTTAAGCATTCTGCATTAAATGTTTAAGTGTACTTAAACGCTTCTGAATTACAATTTTACAATAAACAAAAAGTTTAAAGCTGCTAAACAAGTAAGAAATGCTGCTGAGTCATAACAACCTACTGACCTCACAACATGTTCTGTGATAATTATGTAAACACACATATATTGAAGCATTATTTGATTGGTTTAGGTCTAAAACAAGGGTGTTACATCACCAAGATGTGATCGGCAACACTCAAACGGACTTTAAGACACAGAGCTGCTCCGGTGGTAATTAATAATCTATTACTGCAAATGGAATGGCTTCTTCACCACCTACAGAGTAACAGGACGCGTGACAACAACACTGGAAAGCTCATGTTTACCGTTGCCTGTGCACATGAGAGTCAGGTTAACAAAAGCATCGTCGCCCACCTTATTAAAATTAATGGGAATATACAGTTATTCAACACTGTGTTTAACCTCGAGACCTCCTTAACCTTTGCCCTCAAATAAGACCTGTCTTGTCTTTTGTGATTAGCAGCTTTTTACAAGTTGACAGATGACAAGCAGCGGCTGTGTCTGAAAACACGGTAGAGTTTAACGCTCCAGTCACGTCCAAAAATACGGTTTAGCTAGGGTGGTTATCAGGAACCAGCCATATTGAGTCTGTCAAAAGAGAATGAGGAGTAGAAAAATAATTTATTTTAATTTCTAAGCGGACTTTACCTGCCAATTACACCCGAGACGACTTTGGTTGCCACCTTATTAACCCCTCAGTTATCAAGATCATTATCAGGACAGTCTTAATAAATATAAGTGACAAGAAATAAATTATATTAAATGTAACACAATTTCGACTAATAAACATACATAAAGAAAATAAAACATTAAATATGACATACATTACAAAACAGTGAAAAGTGCTGACAAAAAGACATCGCTGGTTCGCTGCCTTCACTTCATCCAGTTAACTCTCCCACTATTACAGGTGATACAAATTATTAGTAATATATATATATATTATGACTTTAAACTCTATTACCTATTTAACATTCGCAGGAAATGTTAATGAGCATAGCGTTTTTATAACTTTGAGGAAAAACTAGTTTCTAGTCGGGCTTTTGGTTTGACGAGGCGGCGCGCGGGAGAATCTCACGAGTTAGCACGCGAGCTACAGGCTAACAGCGAGAGAGCTCAGCAAACCGGACACATTTGCGTCCAGCAATTACACAATGACAGATAACCGCGTGCAAATACGCTTTTGGGCTCACCGAGAGGCTTTTCTCTGGGAAAAAGCCTCGCTGAGCTCGGGTTACTATCGCTTGTGTATACAAGGCCAGTGCATTCATTGCATGGTAAGCGGTTGGATGCGGGATGATGCCTTGTTTACAATGTAAAACATCACTGTCGCTATAGAGTTACATGCAATTTATTATAAACGATTTCTCGGGATCTACCGATCTCTGCTGCTTAATATAAAATACCTTACATTTTGCTTCAAAACAACTTTCACCGGTGCCGCAGAGTTGTGTGTTAGCCTGGATCACAGAGTTAAGATCAACATGATGACAGGCCACAAGTCAACACTTGATAATCGCATCCAATAAAGCATGCGAGTCGACCTCTCCAGCCGCGCAACGCATGCATTTCAAACAAACACATGCGCATCGCCGAAACAAGCCACGGAATCTATCATTAGACTGCAGTGGATCATATTTCATTAATTTAATAATAACAAAACAAAATCATTTACTTACCTGCACATGATCCGCCATTTTGCTCCATTCATGCTCCTCTCTCACTCCCCCCTGACAATGAGCATGCGCGCGTCTGTTCACGATCACGGGGACATTTACGCAATTGACGTACGTAGTGATAAAGCCAGATGTTCGCTCGGGGCTTCGTGAATCCTGTTACGGCAGACAGCCGCCGCCGAGACCAACGCCGAAAAGAGCCTTTGTTTACATGCTTCTTAAAGTGAAACTGCGAATTCAGATTTTGAAGGTCACGTGGATTTATGACTCTAAGCATGACTGACGGCGCTTATTGTGAAGTTGAGAAATAAGGCAATTAAACCCTTAAAGAGGCTCTCGCGGGCGTTCAGACACCTGTTGTAAACGTGCACACAGTAATTAGGTTAATTAGAACGTTTTAAACAGACACAGTGTTATTATTATTATTATTATTATATACATTTTCAGGATATGAAGACTCCAGACAGATTGTTTTCTGTAGTTTTAATTTACATGGAGCGGGTTGCGCCCTCAAGGAGGCCGCCATGTTGGCATCACATGACTAGCTTTATGCAGTTGACTGATTTAGTAAGATTATTAACAACAACGCTAATAATACATTTTCTGTATAATAATTCAATCAGTGTTGTTTCACACTAATCAACCTGAATCTTTATCATGTTGTTTGAATCCCCTTTAAAGTCATCCTGAAACTAAACTTTTTGTTCATCATCTTTTCTTCTCTATATTGTGATGTATATGAGCAACTGATTTAAAAATATGACACATAACTGAATAATAGATTTAATAATGTAATACCTTTTAAGGATTTTAAACAAACATTGACCTGCATGAATAATCCAGAAGACAAGATTTTCCAATGCTGGGCTTTTTTTAAATACAAAGTCTGTGGCAAATTTCATAGCAAATAGTAATTGTTCATTTTGATTTCACTGGGACTTTAATGTTGGGACCAAGGATTGTTGGCACACGGATTTCATAATAAAAGCTCAATATGAGCCAATATGACCAGATGGTCCTGTTAACCACAAACAAACAAACAAACGAATGAATGAGATTTAATAGTCATAATTTCCCCTCTCATCTGTGAGTTCTCACCATGGTTTGTAAAACTGTCACATTAGAGTTTGTTTACAGTTTTAATGAATAAAACTCAACCCAGAAAAAACTGTCTATAATTATATTAATGTGGTTATATAAGCACATTAAAAAGGACAACATTATTATAAATAGTTATGATTAAAAATGTACTGAAACGTTATTTATTTGGTTGTTGCTTGCATTTTCATAGGGAGTTACTATATTGCTAGCACATTGCTATGTGGTTGCTAAAAAGTTCTTGGTGGTTGCTTGTTAATAAAGCCGTCTGGGTTTTTGTACCCTAAAATAAGTAGCTTATTGATGATGATGTGAGGTTTTATGGGAGATTTTATGGTACTAAATTACATACAGCAGTTATGATCCATTTATTACCCGTTAACCACTTTTTGAGCACAGACCTGAAAATGAAATTTCCAACTTAAACTGTTGTAAATCTTAAATGCTCTGGAGCACAGACTGAAGTTTGGTCTCTTTTTAAAGAAGAAACATTGCAGATTAATGAAGTGAAGTAAAAAAGTGAAAAAAAAAAGTTTATTATTATGCACAGAAATACTATTTCAAAGTTTAATATGAATTAAATATTTTCCAAACCATGTTTCACTCTAAAACTGAGAACATGAAAATCAAAGCTATACATTTAAACAAGCTGTGTTCCAAATTTGAGTTTGAAATCTCAAAAAAATGAGCTTTCAGTAAGATTTTGTGGGTGCTCAAACATTTCCACTAGATGAAATTCACTTGCATTCATTTCCAATGCGATCATTTTTGACCGCGAACAGTACAAGTGTGGCTATTGTTTTTCAGGGCAAGTTAACCTTTCAAATCATGTCCATGATTTTTTTTCTTCTTCGCATAGCAAGTGCCAAAACTTTTACCAAGTTTTGTATAGCATTCCAATGAAGTAAAAAAATTCTATAAAACCAAAATGTCATTTTTTTCAGTTAAAAATGACTGAACAGCACCGGAGGGTTAAATTTACCAAGAGGTTTTGATGACCAGATGGTTGTATTTTTGGATCAGGACGATAAACAGTCAACTAAGTAATACAGAGGTTAAAAGATGGCTAAACTGACAGCTATCAGGCTCTCTACCAAACCACAAGATATTCACATATTTATTACGCCTGACAGTTTCACTCAGATTGAGCTGTGCCAGCTAACAGCTCATTCAAAGTATTCACTGAAGTGAAAAAGAGCGTGGCGACAGCAACAGGATTAGATGCTTTTTCATTCAGAGTTTGTTCCCTGTTATTGTATTGGATTTATCACACTGTGACTTAGAATTGCTTTGAACTGAACAGTTTTGCAACTGAGTAACTGACATCTTCAAGGATTTTTTTTTAATGAACATCAAAATTTTAGGTTAAAATGTATAGCAAGTATCAGAATTTAATTTCAGTTTTTTTCACCATGCTCCTGCATGACAAATTAATTATTTTAAAATACAAATGTTCCATTTAGTCTTTAGCCCAGTATAAATTCATGCATGTAACAAAATAATGACCAAAATACTGTTTAAAACAGTAAATTTTTTTTAACTAAAGCTAAAACTAAATAAAATAAATTACATTTTCAGTAATTTAAATAAAGCTACATAATAAATATTAAAAATAGATGAAACTGTAACTTAAATAAATAAGTTGAAGATGAACTATTAAAACTAAAACTGAAATAAAAAATTAGCTAAAGCTATACAGAAATATTTGAAAAACAAACAAAAAACAACAAATACATATTAAAATGGCTAAAACTAAAATGAAAATGGAGCATATAAAAATAAAATTGAATTTAGCATGTGACACCAGGACATTTTCAATCAGCTTTTGTTGACTGGCCAGATGACAGCAGGATGTCACATGACTAAAGATGACATTTGCAGTGTTTCAGCTCTGGCCTTTGGACCCTTTTCAAACTACACTATATCAATTTAGTTCTGAGGCTTAAAAATTGACATTTCTATGTGCTTGTATTGAAAGACTAAGAAAAAGGGGTTTCTGAATAATAATGTTTTATAAGCAGCAGCTGCTCTTCAAAAATGTGTACATATATGGACCTGTTGGTGATGTTTGTGAAAGTGCTGTAATAGCCCCCATTGGTCACAAAGGGGCACCATAGATACACCATCAGACCACAGGCCTATGACAAGAAACCTTAGCATGTTCATTTGACATCCACTGACCAGTTTCCCGAGTGTTATTTTCACACAACTTTAGGTGACAAAGCATATAATGCACATTCTGATGTACACAAATACTTTTGATCAGTTTTAGATACTGTAGAAAATGCTAACACTTTGCAGATAATGTTAATATAATTTGGACTGACATTTGTAACAATGCACAATTTTGCATAGCATTTGCTGTAAGAAGTAGTAAGATATGAGGAAAAGTGACATTTTCCCATGACCCTGTGATTGATTCTAATGAGGTGCTAGTAGGATGTTTAAGGTATTCACACTTTCACAGAAGATATACAGTCTTCAGCCCCAAATAGTGCCAAACAGGAAGAATCATATGAGTAGGAAACCAACAGCCATACAGACACACGCCCACTCATCTGACTTCTCCAAGTGACTGATTTAGACTTCATCTTAGCCAGGAAGTAAGACTGACAATGTACCTAAGGCCAGTCCACCATTGACAGCAATGCCTCTCATAGTCATTCAAACAGTTTAAAAGCAAACGGGAATCAAGGGAACCTAGCGAGAGAGAGAGTGGAGGAGAGAAAAACAAGACAAAGGCCAGCTGAAGAACCATGGAGGAAGACATCAGGAGAAAAGGGATGCTTTATTTTCATCAACAGCGCTTCGGCAAGGTGAGACTCGGTGTCCTTCTCAGAGCTTTATAAGTAGTGTGATTATATTTGCAAGATAAACTAAAGAAATAAATGCATTTTCACACTCACGCATGGCTGTGGATTCAGCATATATGAGCGGAACGGCAAAGGTCAGAATATATATACAGTATATATATATGTATACATACACATGTACAGTATGTGTATGTATACATATATATATACTGTATATATGTATATAAATAATATATATACACAGTATATTCATCATAGAATGCTTAAAAATATGTATTATGATTTACACCAAAATATGAAGCACCACAACCCTTTTCAACATTGATAATAATAAGAAATGTTATTTTATTATTACATATATTATCTTTTATATTGCAATAATTTCACATTCAATTTTCAAATTAATGTAGAAACAACATAAAGACAGTACATTTTTTAATATTTGTTTAACGGCATCTCTGTTTTAAGGGAGTATCACTGATTCCAATACTATATATACTAAATGTCTGTATGAAATTGTTTTTTTTTTCTTCTAATTTTTAACCATGAACAATAGCCATTCAACATTACAGTATAATTGAGAGCTATCAATTTGAACATTTATTAGACTTTAAAAATAACAACTAATTTAAGTGAACTTAAAGCAATTTCTCACATAAACCTCTTGCTCTTTGAGGAACAGACATCACAGCAGCTGGGTTTTTAGGTTATTTTGGCTGCTTTAAGAGCTGTGGCTGCTGAACATGACGCGGATCTGACACGCACGGCATTTTCTCACAACTCTTTACCTTTTCGGACCCACTTCAGGAAAGTTTTGAAAACCAATGCATTTCAGAGACTTAAATGTGACTCATACATACATAACAAATACTTACATGCATGCACAGTTTAATCACCTTTTTGGTGACTTCATGACTTAACTGATGACATAATTACGACCTTGCCTGCTAGTAGTTTCATTTGCGCTTTAATATGAATTTATATACAGCGCGGGCCACTGCATTTGTGCGTGCAATGGAAGAGTATGTGCTACGGGCTGACAGGACAGGAAAATTTGTTTTTACTGACATATGCCCTGGCAGCATCTCATCTGACCACAGTTCACCGTTGTTCTATTGAAGCTCCCTCCTCACCTGTACCGTTCCCGCCCTCGTTTGACTCGGGCCTGGCGCTGCAGTGAAGATGGAGTGCGCGTCTGAAAAGTCTTCCGTGTATTGTGATTGTAAAGACGTTCTGCGTCTGAATAAACGCAA